AGTACCTGAATCCTAGAGGTCAATTCAAGACGATTTGAAAGATGGGCATCCATATACAATTCTAACAGATGCATTTAATAAGGGAAATATTAAAACATTTCCCTCGATCCTTCGCTATTTCAACAAGAATAAGAACATTTCAATAAAACTGTTAAAATCCTCGTATAGTGAAAAATCCAACGATGTGGCTAGCCACATAATGGTAAATATAGCTGATTCAGGGTTATCAATGATTTGCATGTCAGCTTTCTACGCTGATAATGCCCCTGTAAATTTTGGCAAAAACCAAAGTTACCGAATTGAGGCAGCACCATAATGAATTAATACCACTTAGCTGTATATGCTATATACTACATAATTCTTGTAAGAGGGCAATAAATGTAATCTATTGATGTTGAAATAATTGTGATGAAATGTTTTAACGAATTTAGTTCATCAACTAAAAGAGTTAATGAATTAAAAGAGTTGGTCCGGCTGTCCAAGCCTGTCGGTGACTGGGATGTCATCTCTAAGCTCCGAAATTTATCTTTACCTATTAGGTGGTTGTCATTAATAGCTGCCATCGGTAGAATTTTAAAATTTTAAAAAAATACCTCTTAAATAAAGATTTTAAAAGATGTCCTAAAATTTTGAAAAATTTTTTCGAGTATGAAATGGCAGAAGCATATTTGGGATTCGTTTCACATGTAGGAAATCTACTTCATGCAGTTAATATTCAGTTGCAATCAGAATATTCTTTATTAAAAAAGATATACAAAATCATACTACAGCTCTGTTTATCTTTAGTTAAAAATTGATAATAAATTTTATGGCGCTATTGCTAAAAATATTATATTAAAATGTTCAAATAATACTCTAATTAATACATTTTTAAATGAAGCAGATATTTTTATTAAGACAATTTTAGAATATTTACAATCAAAATTTGATTTTAATAACTCTATTTATAAATGTATAAATATTATGACCTTGGAACAGAAACCATCAATGATGGTTTTTATAATTTAATAAATATATTAAAAAATACCGAAAGTCATTGATTTCTTGTTTGAGGAGATTGTAATTCTCTCTATTTTTTATGATTCGCCAAAATACTTAAAGTTAGATGGTCTAAAAACAAAGGAGAAATGAGTAGAATTTTTTCGTAATAACGATAAATCCCCATGCTTGGGAAAAATATGCGAGTATGTCTTCTCCTTACCTCATTCTAACGCCTCATCCGAGCGCATTTTTAGCCTGATGAGGACTGCCTGGAAAAAGGAGAGAAATCGGATTGCTTTAACATTAGAGGCCGAGTAAATATATAATATGTCATGCCAGGAATTTTATAAATATCTCAATAACGATGGTAAACATTTAGTTCTATTATTTAAATTTCAAATAAAATATAATTAAGTTTTAGCAATGACGCCATAAAATTTATTGTCAATTTAACTGTAAAGATGAACACATCTGCAGCATAATTTTGTGAATCTTTGTTAAGATTCTTCTGATTGCAATTACACGTTAACAGCATGTAGTAGATTTCCTACATGTGAAATCATTCCTAAATATACCTCTGCCATTCATTATTGAAAATAATTTTCAAAATGTTAGGACAGCTTTTATAATCTTTATTTAAGAAATATTTTTTTAAAGATTTATAAAATTTTAAAATTCTAACGATGGCGGGTATTAGGAACATATCGTGGCCAAAATTGTGCTGACTCAATTCTGTGAATACACTCTGTTTTTACCAAATTCACTGCATTATCAGATCAGAAAGCTGACATGCAATTTATTGATAATATGGAATCTGCTATTAACCATTATATGGTTAGCTATATCTTAGGATTTTTTGAGGGGAAAAAATTTAATAGTTTTATTGAAACGACCTTAATTTTGTTGAAATAGCGGATGATCAAGGAAAATATTTTAATATTTCCCTTATTAGATGCATCTGTTAGAATTGCATATGTATTCCCATGGATTTAGGTCCTAAAACATTGATGATAGCCTTGCTCATTTTTATCCTACAAGTATAGTTTTCATTTATATTAGAGTCGTTAAATATTATGGGAAAAAGATTCTACAAACATTGTGATGATAAGTATCTCTCTGAATGTTGTACTACAAGATAAGTGTTTACAATTGCCGTAACTGTAGTTGCATCTGTATTATTTCTTATTTTTGGAGTATCTTATTATGTATTTAAACGTGATACGTGATAATTAAATCCCTATAATGTTATACACACACACTCACGGTAGATTTCCAATTGCGGTCCATTTGCGGGACATTCGTATAAAATATATTTTTAATTGTAAAATTAAAATCGTTCTTTTAAATAAAATTTTATCTTGTTAACATTCTTTTATATTTAAAAAAGATCGTTGGTTTTTTTTATAAATTTATATATTATTAAATCAAGATGTTATTTTACCCCCTCCCCTCCATCCACCCCCAGACCAAGTCACAAGTTACCGATTTTGTATTTATAAAAAAAATTTTTTAGCAATTTTTATATTTCTACAGCAATTTCCATATTTCTCCCGCATAATACCAAATTTCTCCCGCAATTGAAAATTTTGACCTGGCAACCCTGTGGAACCCGTAGGTAGCGAAAGCTGTAGATGAGAAACGAAAGTGTTTCAAAGAATGCTATAACAGTAAAGAAAATAGTGATAACGATATCTACAAGATGGCTAAAAGAAATGCTAAGAAATTAATAGCGAAGGCGCAAGAAGAAAAAAGACAGGAGTTTGCTAAAGAAATGGAATGCGCTAATGGAATAGGAAATATGGTTCGAATGGCAAAGCAGATGTCAAAAAAGAGGCATGATGTGATAGGTGTAAAATGTTTGAAAAATATGGAAGGAAAAATGGTGATTGATAGTCGTGGTATTAAGAACACCTGAAAGATCTACATGAAAGGACTTTTGAATGAAGAAAATGAATGGGATAATAATGTTAGTTGTGCAAAGGTAGAAGGTCCAGGGTATAAATTTGGCAAGGACGAGATAAAGAGAGCAGTGAAAAAGATGAAAAAATGGAAGGCATCGGGTTAAACGATGGTGGTATCAGAGATGTTTAAAGGTTCTGATGATTTAGGGATTGATTGGTTAATAAATTTAGCCGATCAAATTGTCACAGAAGAAACAATCTCCGAGAACTGGAGAAGAAGTATAATTATCCCAGTATACAAGGGGAAATGTGATCCTTTAGATGTGGGTCTTACCGAGCTATTAAACTCTTGGAACATGCAATGAAAGTATTTGAGAGGGTGTTAGAGAAGCGGATAAGGGAACAAACCAAAATTGATGAAATGCAGTTTGGTTTTACATCGGGAAAAGGCAAGTCAGATGCAATTTTTGTGGTGAGACAAATGGAGGAGAAGTAACTTGCGAAGGAAAAGAAACTCTATTATGCGTTTGTTGATTTGGAGAAAGCATTTGATAGGGTGCCGCGTGAGGTTACTAGATAGGCCTTGAGAAAATAAGGTGTGGAGGAATGGTTGGTTATCGCAGTGATGGCAATGTATGTTAGAGCACAAACATCAGTACTGAGGGATTATGGTGATAGTGACAGCTTTGAGGTAAAGGTGGGACTTCATCAAGGATCCGTGTTGAGTCCATTATTATTTATCTTAGTAATGGATGTGGTGGCTAGAGAAATGCGTGAAGGACTTCCTGGGAGCTATTACATGCAGATGACCTTGTATTAATGGCAAACAGTGAGGAAGAATTGAGGGATAAAATTAGTATACGGAAGATGACTATGGAAGCAAAAGATCTGAAAATGAATGCATAAAAGGCAAAGGTGATTATTGGTGGAGAAAATCTAAAGATGGAGGAATCCGGTAAGTGGCCTTGTGGTGTATGTGGGAAAGGAGTTGCTATAAATTCAATCCAATGCACCAGATGCCAAAAATGGGTACATAATAGATGTAGCGGGAAAAAAGGAAGTTTGATGTTAGAAAGAATGACCTTTATTTGTAGAACAAGTATGAAAGGGATACATAATAATGATAACGTAGAAAATGGTGGTCTTGATATTGGCAATGGGTTAACCCTAGAAAAAGTGGATAAGTTTTGTTATTTGGGTGATATGCTAAGCGCAGATGTTGGTGTAGTTACTGCCGTTGTTGCAAGGGTCAGACAAGCTTGGAAGAAGTTCAGAGAGATGTCATCTATTCTTACAAATAAAAATATCTCTCTGAAGTTAAAGGGGAAAGTTTACTAAGCTGTATGAGGAGTTGTTTAATTTATGGCGGCGAAACATGGGCAATGAAAGCGACTCACGAAGCCAAATTAGAAAGAACAGAGATGAGGATGATTAGATGGATGTGTGGAGTATCTCTGAGAGAGAAAAACTAGCAAGGAATTGCGAGCATGATTGGAGGGGTGATGCGACGAAATAGACTAAGATGGTTTGGGCATGTGGAACGTATGACAAAAGATGACTGGGCTAAGAGATGCACCTTGATGGAAGTAGGAGGATCAAAACCTAAAGTAAGACCCAAGATGAAGTGGACAAATGTGATAGCGGCGGATATGAGAAGCATGAATCTTACAAATACTGATGCTCAGGACTGTCAAAAATGGGAAAGAAAAATTAGAGGGAAAATTGGCCTATCCGGGTAAACCTGAAAATCGCCATAAAACGGAGAAGAAGAAGTAGGATAGATGAAAAAATAGTTGGCCCAAAGATATCTTATAATTAAATATAACTTTGTGATCGAAATAAAGTGGCCAGAATATTATTATTATAACACGGAATTTGGATTTTTAAAATTTAGAAATCGTTTTCCGTAAATGATTCAAAATCGAGGTTCAGATCCCCCGGCACATATTGTATAGGAAAAAAATACCATCCACTAGGAATCCAGAAAAATCGCGTGATTGTAACCCCCTTTTCCCTTTAGTTTTGGTATTTCAAAATCATCTATTTGTAAATAGTATTAAGGATTTTTGCGAGAAATATACATTTACAAGTATAATATTAATAATAATAATATTGAACCTTTTTTCCATCTCATTTGCGATTTTAAGGCATATTTGTCGGCGTCCATTTTACTAATGCCATATTTTTCAGCAAGATTCTCAGCTGTTATAGCCATAGACATATTGACATAGGAATCAGTCAATCCCTGCCACAAACTATCTTCCATCTAAACAAATATATAATTATTAAGAAAAAAATTATTTGAGGAAAATTTATTTTTAATTTCAGAATTTATTTTTGTAAATCAAATTAAATGTATTGTTAAGTATTGATAATATTTAAATATCTCAATGTTATTGAATATATTCATAATTCTATTTTATACGTTATAACTAGTGGAGTGAAGTCTTTCTTAAAATCATTTTAATGCAATATTATTTAACAACACATTTCCCCTTCATATAATATTAAAATTATATAAGTATTGAACACTTTCGGATCATTGGTATCAGAAGTGAGGCAAAAAGATTCTTAGTACCCTTAAAGTAAAAATTAGAACCCCCCTAAAAAATTATTTTTTTCTTCGCACCCCCTAAATTTATTTTTAAAAATTTTTTGATGAAAAGTTTTAAAACACTTTTTAACACTTTAATAAATACCAATTTAATTATTTATTTTTAATTATCATTTTCATGGATCTAGCATATAATATACCTCAACAAAAGGACTCAATTCATAAATTAATTTTTATGGCAACTAGTCTCAGAATAATTTTTTTCTTCTTAGGATGAATAAAATGTGTATATTTCGTTTTCCCTCAACCAATGTAATAATTAATTTATCTATCTTTAAATTTTAAAAAAAAATCAAAGTAATATATTGATATTGAGTATTCGAGACTTTAAGATCCGTGCCCAATTTGATGCCAAATCGCAAATTTCGAACCATGTAAGGACATTGACTCATATTTTCGGTACCACCACACAATGCTATATCCGCATCATTGCATAAGATATCCTAAATTATATAATATATATTTTATAGACATTATTTATTTAAATTCTGTTAAGTAATTATAATTTTTTAAGACATCAGATAGAAAAATAAAAAGTTATATTATTATTTTAGTCAACAAGATAATAAAGGACGATACCCCCTAAGATGAAACTATTTTTAAATAAATTTCATATGTGAATAAAGATCCAACATCTATTTTAATTTTCCACCCATTTTAGAAAATTTATAAAACTCTATTAAAATAATATGTAAATGTAAACAATTTAAAACAAGACAAATATAAAAACTATATTAAAAATTTTAAAAAAACATATAAGGGGGGAGAAAAAAGAGGTCCTCATTGTGATCCGAGGAAACTAAGTTGTCTGGGAACATGCCAATTTGAACTGATTGTAACATTATGAAAGAAGATCCACATGATCCATTAATCTGAGAGATTTTTTTTTTACCTATAGAATATTATTTTATTTTCTTTGATATAAACTTGAATCCCATTTATTATCGATTGAAACCCAGATCCGCATAATCTATTGACTGTCAATGAAGGAGTCGATACTGGAATACCTAGCTTAAGAGCTGCATGCCGGCCTATGTATATTGAGTCTGGCGAAGTCTAAGCGAAAGAAATAAAATTTTAATCTGAATAAAATTTGGAATTTTAATCCAAACAAAATTTGTAATTTACATTTTAAAAAGTATATAAGGATCAAATAAATTGGCGAAACAATTTAATATTATAATTTAATTTTTAAGCTTAGGATAGACCATTAAATAATTTTCAATTATTAAGCTGCTAAAATTAATTTTAATAGTATTCAAAAGGGATTTTGTTGTAGTAAAATATCAAGCGATTTGTAAGTAATGAATTATGATAATTATTTTGTCTATTTGAAATAAAAACATATTTCTCTCCTTATGATTCAAAATCTCTTATTTAAACCATTTACTGAGAGCATTTTTAATTTGGAAGAATTTGATTTTACCGAAAATGAATTTCAGTATAGTGGAGCATAAAAGGCCCCATCGATTTTAAAAATAAATTATATTGATACTTAGTTTTAAATAACAAACATGAATAACTAAATAAAGCATTACATATTGGATTAAACTTTATAATCATTGCTTTTAAATTTAGCAAACTTCATAGTTAAGGCTACATCTAAATGTTCGATTTCGATTCATATCAGATTTTTAAAAATAATAGAGATTTTAACTATTTTATTATATGTCATTAAATAAATGGAAAGGAACAAACACAATTTATAAAGATATTTTAGTTTTTATCTTGTTTATAAATGGGTTACTTTTTTCTGGTTGGTAAAACTGATTGAAGAATTAATAAGGAAAATATTGACTCAGGTCCGATATTTAGAGCTTTTAAATTTTTAGTAATGATATTAATAAATATATTTTTATTGCTTCATATTTGAAAAAAGTACAGAAAACAGCAACCAATAACGAGGTGATAACTAGGATTTATTACATATATCAGAATATATAGAATTCCCAAAATTTACATCGGTTGGCGTGGCACAGCTAAAATTAACCTGTGAAAACTTTCTATCCGGTTTTTTGGCAATGAATGACCGGTAATTATTTCAGTCAGAATATATATTGTACAAGTTGGCCAGGGTCCATATTATGGAGTAATAATAAATTTGCTTAATTATCGGTTAATAACTTTAGCCAGGCCTGTAAAATTATTTTAAACATTTTGTCCAGCCCACGCCTAAATTTTGCACAACACAACAGCTAGGTTTTGTGAGAGGTGCGTCAGCTTTTAATCTTTATTAGTGGTCTGTAGTATTGTTAGACAGCTCATTTTGAGCCGATTTTTTTAAATAGCTACCTCAATATTTTGTATAGAAAAATATTAAGCAAGCATACAAAATTTGCTCATAAATGGTAAACATATTTGGAGATGTTTTCGCGAAATCTCGAGGATTAGGCAATATTTTTCTGACTATTGAGTTAGACATTTTAATCGGGTCAATTCGAGCTGTTTAACACTAGTGATCTGTATCGGGCCTAATTTTTCAAGCCCAACCCGAAATCTTCTAAAATGATTGTCCGGACAAGCCCATTTTTGAACAAAATTTTTTGTCCCTAAAAGCTCAACCAGAAATAAAAATTATTTGTCCGCTTGGCCCGAATTTATTTAAATATGCATCGCCTAAGAATTAGACTATTCTATATCCACTTTTTGTCAAAAACGACTTTTTTTACATAATTCTATTTTTTATAATTTTACTATTCTATTTATTCAAAAAAATTTGAAATATATATAAAATAAGTTAAATTATAGCTAATAATATCCTATTGAAAACAATATAAACTTAATTTTTAAAATTAATCTCTTGTAAAATTACAAAGAGTGGTGATGGAATAATATAATTCTCAGGAAAACTTAATTTTTAAAATTAATCTCATGTAAAATTACAAAGAGTGGAGATATAATATAATTCTCAGGCGACATAGATATAGGAATTAATTTTTTTTCAATATAGTTTTACATTTTTTAACTAACACAATCGAGTTATTAAATATTGGCACCTTATTTCTTGCAAAAGTCTAGTGTTGTTAAACGGATTTGAGCTAATTTTTACAAACAGCACAGATGGCACAAAGGTTTGGACATCCATTAGCAAAATTTCGACTTATGTTTCAGGATAAAATATTGAGCTAACCAATTCTAAAAATAGGCGCACCCCAAAATATGTTCAGGCTAATTCTACTTCAGCAGATCTCTAATATCTAATATTTGAGCATATCAATTATTGTTAAAAGATTGGTATCAGTATTAAAATATCTGCCAATTCAATATTTTTTTTTAAATTGTAGGGGCTTTTCAAATTTTTCAGGGGGCTCATGCTCCTACAACCAGAGACACTACTGTGGTAGTGTCTATATATTTTTCAGGGAAATAGAACAGAACTTGGCAGAAATTATAGAACGTGAAGAGGACAGTGACCCTGGAACAGTTTTAGGAATGTTCCAAAGATATTAAAAATTTTTAATTTATTATACAATTATTCGAAATTCTTTTCTATTTTCTTAATTCCAATTTGCATTGCATAACAATATTATTACCTATTATTTAGTATTATTATGTGATTTAATAGATTAAGATTATAAAAAAATTACTAATGATATTTGAAATAATTTTAACCATTTTATTAAAAAATTAATATAAAATAAAAATTTTAAATTTATCAGGAAAAATGTCACTAAATGGTGAAGAAATATAAATGGCTCAATTTGAGCTTATTTTTAAATATGCATATTTAGCTAATAGATGTACAAACCTTTGTCATCTATGAACAAAATCTTCAGGCTTGTATAATATTTCTCTGTATAAAATATTGGGTTAGGCATTTTTAAAAATCAGCTCAAATAGAGCCATTTAACAACACCAATAATAAGTATATGGTTTTTCACAAAGGTCTAATATTATAGACAGAAAATTACTAATAAATAAATGCTTTAAATTTTAATAAATAAAATTGTATAATACATTTATTAATATATTATTTTCATCAATAATAAAAAAAATTTTTTTATAATTTTATCTTATTCAATTAATATTTAAAAATTAAAGGCTATATAGTAATATAGTTTTATTTAAATAAGCTTTTATTTATATACATCAATTAGACAATGACATTTACAAACAATGCATAAAGAATTGCTGTTATCCATAAAATTGATATTCCATATAAATTGAAAATTTTAGGCCTTATTTATATTTGTATGATTAAAATATTCTATTAGAAATTGTTTGCTAATTATAAGAATAAATATTCAATAACTAAATAATTCATATAAAATTATTGTTACATGAATAACATTGCCAACAATTGTTGAATTTATGTCAGCAGCATTTATGTTATTTAATTTATTGGACAAAGCAGAGATTCCTGCTATTACACATATATCAGTAGGTGATATATTTTTAAGTTTCCCGCCGAAAGTTCCAAATGGGGTTCGTTTTGCAGCAATTATAAAGATATCTACAATTTAAAAGAATGAGGTATTAATATCAGCTGTTTACTAAACCTTTTGCTAATGCCATTATGAACGTAGCGTCCCGTAGTCTCGAATTATGATTAACTTTTATATTATAAATAATTATAATTAAATTTTATATATGATGTAAATAAATCATTAAATTATATTCAATATATATGTAAATTAATATAAATATGTTAATAATATTAACTATTATATTAAATTTAAATATATTGATTACATTATATACTACAAACAATCATTTTAATTATTTTATATATTAATTAATTTAAATTTAAATACATATAACATTAAAATTATATTATTTACTTTAATAAATTTAAATATATTATAAATGATGCAAACAATTATATATTTAAATTTCTAATAATTCGTTATATTAATTAATTTAATATTAATTATATAAATTATCAAATCTGTCTCATTTGTAATTACCGATTGAAACGTATCTTACCGCCTTTACTATTTTATTAGTTATAATTAGGTATTTTGTCGGTAAACTTTTAGATAAATTTCGGATTAGCTTAAAATTTATATCCTCTAATTTCCTTAAGCTTTTTGCATGTTCAAATATCTTAAGCTTACTGCTTAATTTACAGACCTTTATAAATATCATATTGCAGCTGTTTATTATCAATTAAGCTAAAGTATATTTATTTTGTGTTTAAATATCTTATATTGCAGCTCTTTATTATTGCTCAATTTACAAGTTTTATAAATATCAAATTGCAGCTGTTTATTATCAATTAAGCTATATTACAGTAAAAGTATATTTATTTTATGTTTAAATATCTTATATTGCAGCTCTTTAATGCTCAATTTACAAGCTTTTATAAATAGCAGCTCTTTATTGCTCAATTAAGCTAAATAACAATATAGGTATAATTACTATTTGTTTAAAAATCTTATTATATTGCAGCTCTATTATCAATTAAGCAAAATTACAATAAAAGTATATTTATTTTATATTTAAATATCTTATATAGCAGCTCTTTAATGCTCAATTTACAAGCTTATATAAATATCATATTGCAGCTCTTTATTCCAAGATTCAAGTTATTTTATTGTAGTTGAGTTTGGCTGAAATGGTATATGCCAACAAAATCTATGTTGCGTGCTATATCATTTGTGGAGAGCTTTATATGGTAAAAGTATATAATACTAATCATAATGTTAATGACATTGGAATGCTTGAATAGTACGCTAAACCCTTCCTTTGTGTATTTTTTTTTATCAGTTTGTATAACTTATTATTGTCGACATATTTTTTGTATAATTTATTTCTGCAAAGAATAAAGGTGGTGACGAATGGCCCGAGGTTCGAGTCAGTAAAAATATTTTTTATTAACTAACTTTTTCATTTCACACTTCGTTTATATACATTTTTTTATAAGTTCAAATTAGAATATAAACGAAATACAAAAAAGTAAAATAATATAAAAAAAGTAAGGTTACGCCGTTTATAAAATAAAATTAGATTATAACAAATACTAAAAATTATATAGTAATAAATAATAATATTTGAATAATGCAACATTCTCCCTCTTCTGATAATTTCATCGGAGAAGTCATGAGAGTTTGTTGTCCAAGTGGTTTATCATTTTGGCTTGTCCCAATCGTTGGTTTGATTAATTCGATTTTGCACTTGATATCCATATCGTAAATTATCTCCATTAATCATAGCTTGTTTGATAGTGCTCAATTGTTATTATCATTTTTTATAATTAATCCAGTCGAATATTGGAATTTGGAATAAATCGGAATATAATTTGGAATAGTTGATCAAATCAAATGTATGAATAATATGCACGAATAAAATTTTGAAATTTGGAACAATAAAATATGTAATAAGGAATGATAATTTATGGAATAAGGAATAAAATTTTAATCCAGAATAAGGAACGATAAATCATAATGATTATCATATTATTTTTAAGTTAATCATAGCGTTTTATACTTTTAGCGTTTTATGCGTTTGATATTTTTAGCGTTTTATATTTTTTGTATTTTACATTTTTTAGCATTTCATATTTTATAAGCGTTTAATTTTTGCGTTTTAGTGTTTAATTAATTTTTGTTTATTTTCTATCTCCGAGGTTAAAATATGCAAATATTATGCACATTTCCCTCTCTTAAAAAAAATTTAAATTTCACACAATATTTTTTTAAAATAATGATATTTAATTTTTACATTGTCTTCAAAAGCTTTATTTCAAAAACATTTTTATCATATTAAGTATTACTTATAAGGGTTATTTAAATCAATCCCTTTTAATTCATATGTTTTAATTATATTTTAATAATCTTCTTCTTTAGGATTTTTAACGGTTTATTTTTAATTATATCTAAGAATTCATCTTTAGGTTTAGTTAATTTACAACAATTGGTCATCATTTCATCTTTAGGTTTAGTTAATTTACAACAATTGGTCATCATTCAAGAAATCAAAAAAATATCAATATTTCACTATAATTTAAGTAAATAATTTTTTCAAGGCTTTTTGTGTGGTCTATATCCATTATGATTTTACATTTTAGTATCAATATTTCACTAAGAAATTATAAATAATTTTTAAAAGCTTTTTGTGTGTTCAAATATCCATTATGATTTTACATTTTAATGATTTTAAAAATTTATAACATGCCTTTATCCTGGCATAAAATCTTAATATAATAACTTTTCTTCTTACGTGAATTAGAATAATAAGTAATCATCATTGGTCTCACAATATAGAATTCATAACCTAACGTCCAACTTTCATTATGGTTCTTTCTAGGTTGCCACATTAGGTTAGGTGCTGGCTATTATATTCCAGTCCAACATCCAGAGCCGGGACACCATAAAGAAAGAAGCTTTTTGCATGAAAGAACGTACTAAGGTTTGATTCTTGGTCATCTCAGTATATTAGGCATAGGATATTAATAGCTTAGGCAGTCACAATAGATAAGATAGTCATCTCAATAGGTAGTCATCTCCATAGGTTAAGCAGTCTCTATAGGTTAGATACACAATAGGTAGTCCTATCAATAGATAAGGTAGTCATTTCAATAGGTAAAGCAGTCTCTATAGGTTAGATAATCGTCACAATAGGTTGTCATCTTTTTCTAGTCCACCACCCAAGGAGCACCATGCAAAGAATAAAGATGGTGACGAATGGCGCGAGGTTCGAGTCAGTAAAAATAAATTTTATTAACTAACTTTTTCATTTCACACTTCGTTTATATACATTTTTTTATAAGTCCAAATTAGAATATAAACGAAATACAAAAAAGTAAAATAATATAAAAAAAGTAAGATTACGCCGTTTATAAAATAAAATTAGATTATAACAAATACTAAAAATTATATAGTAATAAATAATAATATTTGAATAATGCAACAATTTCAATTCAAAATTATCATCTTTCATATTGTACGTTTATATTATTGTTTCGCGCACTATTATAAAATTATTTTTTTTATTCCTAATATATATATGTAATTAAATTCTTATAAAATACATTTTTAAAATTGCCTACACAGGCATGAATAAATAAAATTATATTCGCGAATTTTCAGAAAAATTTCATAATCAATAATAATTTAATATTTTGTGTTGTCAAATTATGCACTTGAAATAAAAAGAAATATTCATTTGTAGCAATAATTATATATTTACGATAAAAATTTTAATAAAGGAATTCTTAGTAAGAAAAAAAATTAACGATCCCATATTAGAAATAACATAAAAATTTGAGTAAATAAGATATTTGAAAGAATAATAAGTATAAATACCTACTATAAAAATTTTATTTATAGAGTTCCAATAAAAAAAAAATTAATGATCCCATTAATTTATAAAAATCTCAAGAAAAATTTGAGTAAATAAGATATTTGAAGGAATAGTAAGTATAAATACCTACTATAAAAATTCTATTTATAGAGTTCCAATAAAAAAAAATTAACGATCCCATTAATTATTAGAAATCTCATGAAAAATTTGTGTAAATAAGATATTTGAAGGAATAATAAGTATAAATACCTACTATAAAAAATTTTAATTATAGAGTTTCTAGCAAAAAAATTAACGATCCCATTAATCATTAGTAATAACAAAAAAAATTAAAATATATTAGTAAATATGATATTTAAAGAAATAATAAATATCTATTACCCCTTTACCCTCAAATTTATATTTTCTACCCATCTACAAGTCTCATGAAATTATATTCAGAAAACGACGGAAGTAAATGGCTACTAGTTTTAGCATTCTTGGTTATTTTTTTAGAATAAATATTACAAAAAACTTATTATTAAATAGATAAGTTCTCTAATGCAGAAGAAAATTGTTTTAATATCATCTAATATAAAATATTTTTAAAAATATATATAATATTGAATAAATTATATTTATTATTTCATTTTAAATTAATCATAATAAATATATCAACAATATTAAAATATGCAATATATATTATAAATATATTAAATAAATTATATTAATTAATATATAAATTTTTTATAATATTATATTATATTATTAATTTATATAACTAATTAATATTAGAATTATATACTAATATTTATATTAATAAATTTTTATTTATATAAAATTAATTTAATATTAAATAATTTACTTTAAATAGTAAAATCTGTCTAATCTGTAAAAGTTAAATTTTTTAATATTATTAAAATCTCTCGCTTCAAACTTATAGGGGCCATTTTGACAGCCATTTTAGCTTATTTGCTTTTTTAACATTTTTTAATAATAGTAATTGCGGACTGTAACCGAAATTTATTAGCGGCATTTAATTTAATATTAATATTTTAAATTCTTTCGCTTCAACCCAGAGACCTGCAGGCCCGGCCATAAACGGCGCCCGGGCCGGGCCGTATTTTAAAATTTTTAAATATACCCGGGCCGGGCCTAAAAAAATTTTTTTTAAATATATCCGGGCCGGGCCTAAGATTGTTAAACCCGGGCCGGGCCTAAGATTGTTAAACCCGGGCCGGGCCTTAATATTTTTTATAAAAATTTTTACATAATGAGTTAATTGTTATAAGATTATATTATATTATAGTATGATTAATA